TCCCCTTTCCTCCCATCCTCCACCCCCTCAGCATGACCTCTAGGGAGGATTTAGAAAGAGAGAGAGAAGGAGGGAGAGAGGGAGGAAGGGAAAGAAAGAAGAAAGAAAAACTGACTCACTTGAATAAATTTTAAAAAAATGCATTACAATGTTCAGGTCCCATACTGTTGTATCACTGCCTTGAAGAAATGGGTTATCTAGTTCATTAGGCAAAACAAGGTAAAAGGATTAAAAATTTCCCCCTAGTTATATTGTGTATGCAACTGTGTAATATGATGACTTATTTGTGGATCATTTCTCCTTTTCCATTAATTGTTATGAAGATAAAATGTGTTTTTTTGTTTTTTTTTAGCAAAATCCATAAGTTGATTGGGTTTGCAGTCTGCCTGTTCTTTCTGAATCTCAAACAGAAAGGAATACTTCTTTGTCTTGTCTGCTCAGTAATGAGCAAAACCGTTTTCTCTTAGTCTTACTTGGGACTCAGAATAATTTGGTGTTTGTAGTTAGATACTTACAATTTTCCTTGCATGAAAGAAAACTGTGTGGTTTACCTTACAAAACAGAGCGATTTTACCTGGTTTAAGAATGAGTTTTGATACTTTACCTTTTTGCTAAACAAAACTGAAAGCAGCTGCATTTTCTTGGCTGCCATTGGAATAATCCTGCTAAAAAATTTTTTTTAAGATAGATAAAATATTTGTTTAGAGAGGTATTTGGGTTTTTGTTTTTTTCCCTCCTTATGAAAAATCATTTCACCGTGTGAGGACACAGCGAGAAACAGCCACCTGCAGTCCAGAGAGAGAGTTCTCACCAGAAATCAAATAGGCAGAACCTTTATCTTGACTTCCTAGCCTCCAGATCTGTGAGAATAAATATCTGTTGTTTCAGCCACCAAGTCTCTGGTATTTTGATGACAGACTGAGCAGATTAAGATGCAGCAGCAGTGTTTTCCTCACTAACCAATTTTTTGCTTTTTGCCTATTATTCCTGACTGTCTAGCCCTGAATCTGATTTTCTCAGAATCCTGGAGATTCCATAAGATACCAAACATTCATTAAATAAACTTCCTTTTTAAGTGAAAAAAAGAAGAAGAAAATAATCAGGTCACAGGTTTTTAATCAGAGGGTTTATTCTGAGCTATGTGAGGATTTAGCTGAGTTCCTCTCTTTTATGTCTCTTGCTGTCTTTTGTGACTAAAGGCCAAATCTAAGCCCTCAAAGCCTATTGGGGTTGGTGTGCATAGGCAATGCAGGGCAGCCTTGATAGTCCCTAAGAATTTTTGACATGACAGGATGAAAACAGTAATTGTAGTTTTTCAAATTCAGCAAAGCTTTTGAAATAGGACAAAGTTACCCTGCCAAAAATCTGCAATGCAGGCAAAAATTTTCTGAACATGCTCTTTTCAAAAAGCTGGAAAGATTTGAAAACAGCAAGTAAAACAAGCCCCCCAACCCTCTTCTCCCACCTTCTCCTTTGCCACATACACGTGTTTAAAAAGTATACAATGCAAAATTAATTTATTTCTGAGAAGGAGGACAAGAATCAGAATTGGTTGTTTGGACTGGTTAGGAGTGCTTTGTTCTCCTGGAAAGAAGAAATATCTCTTTTGCCTGGCCGGCGTGGCTCAGCGGTTGAGCATCGACCTAGGATCCAGACGATCGGGGTTCGATTCCCGGTCAGGGCACATGCCTGGGTTGCGGGCTAGGCAGCCGATCAATGGCTCTCTCATCATTGATGTTTCTATCTCTCTCCCCCTTCCTTTCCTCTCTCTGAAATCAATAAAGATATTTTTTAAAAAAAGGTACTTATATTACAGCTCTGGTGAGTAAAATATATCATTTGACCTTTTTTCCCTTTATTCTTTTTGATGTTAGCCTTTATACTCGAGTAAACAATGGCATTTTTAACCTGAACCTTTTATGATGTAAAGATCTCAAATTAAAATATAAAAAATGAAAACATTGAAAATGAATAGATCAGTGTATAATTTGCTGTAGTTTAATTTGATGGCTTTTAAAATTAAAGTATTAAATGTGTCTATATTGGAATTTAATTGAAACTGTGGTACTATATCGGTGTTTTAAAGAAATGGATGGTTGAATATTTGTTTTAAATTTGGGGGTGGTTTTTTAGTTTAAGGATGTTACCCAACAAGAAACAGAACTTTGATTTCAGTTCTTAGGCTAAAGGCTCGTGTAGCTCTATAGAATTATTCACAGTGTCCAGGAAACGCTGAAGCTCTGAATGTGTCCCTTGTGACTTTTCTTTGTGAGATATAGAGCACAAACAGTGCAATGGCTCTGAATATATAGTCCGACAAATAGGCAGCACTTCTGTAGCTGCAGCATCACTCTGTTGGTTCCTAAGTGTTCCCAGTAGGCCTGAGGTTAAACCAAATAAGTTAAAAAGGGACAAGAGGGAGGAGAGAAGAGGAGGAAGAATACCCGTGGGCAAATGTTAGTTCCTAATTATTGCCTCAGATGTCACCGAATTGAAAAATACGCTCACTGGTGTTCCAGGTGGAATAGTTTGGTCACCAAGACAAAGAGCATTTATCAGGCAAACCATTGGATTTCTCTCCTGCTCTTTAATCTCCCTCTTGATAAATCCTAGGGATAGGTTAATAGACTTTCTGTTTCTATTCATAAGGCAGGCTGTGGATCCTGTTTCATTTTTTTTGTTCTTGGTATCCTATCGAATTCCAAGGATTTGAGGTAGTTTATAGCAAGGACATAAATGACTAACATACAAAAGAAATGTTAAAGTCAGAGAGCTCAGAAACCATAAAGGTGGAATGGGGAGAAAATTCTACCTGAAAACCAAGGTAAGATGATTGGACTTGAGCATTAACATTTAGTACTGTTTTCGAGCACCAGTATACTTGAACTAAATTCCAGAAAGACACAGCAGTTTTTACAGTTCTTATCTGATGAAAAGGAGCATAACAACTTTTTAGGAGAGAAACTCTCTGGTTCTTAATTCAAGAAAAATGGTTGTATAAGCAGTGTCTTTAACAGTTTTGCAGAAGATGCAAGAACATTGTTCACATTGCTTTTTCTTGTATTGACCTCTAGAAGTTGAGAATATAACATTCAATATTAACCCAGTCAAAACATATTAGTGGGAAACTAAACTAATGGTATGGTGCTTTCTGGTGATCCAACTGTGCAGGGTTAAGCTGAAAAACGTAGAGGAATGTATTGTTAGTATTAAACTATCTTTTAAAATAAGTTTTGTTGACTGTACTTTGATAGGATTGAATGGCAGTCTTTCATACTGAATTCCTTGGCTGTTGCTTGGAATGGAGATACACTGTATTGGTGATTGAAGCTATAGGCCTCAGATAATAGTTCAAAGCTCAGCTTTTGTTTTTGGAATATCCCACTTATTAGAGATAGTTACAGGATACTTATGATCAAGGCTGTAATTTTTCTCTTTCAAATATCTACCATAGTTCAGTTATTTAGTTTCTTACTGAGAAAAATTCTGGTCTTGTGCATCAATATGGCCTTGAAGTTTTTTTTGTTTTTTTTTAAAATCTTTATTGTTGAAAGTATTACAGGTGTCCCATTTCCCCCCCCCAATTGACCCCCTCCACCTCGCTCCCACCCCCTCCCCACGCCTTCACCCTGTCATTGTCTGTGTCCATGGGTTATGCATATATGCATATAACTTCTTTGGTTAATCTCTTCCCACCCTAAACCCCCTTCCGCCTTCCCTTTGAAATATGATCGTCTGTTACATTCGTCAGTGTCTCTGGATCTATTGAGTTCATCAGATTCTTTTGTTCTTTAGCTTCTTGTTAAAGAAGACCCTTCAACATTTCCTGTAGTGCTGGTCTGGTCATGATGAACTCCTTTAGCTTTTCCTTGTCTGAGAAGCTCTTTATCTGACCTTCAGTTCTAAATGATAGCTTTGCTGGGTAGAGTAGTCTTGGTTGTAGTTCCATGTTTTTCATCACTTTGAATATTTCTTGCCACTCCCTTCTTGGCCTTGAAGTTTTAAGGGAATCTTCAACATTAGGATTCCTAGGCTACAAAAAGTCCTTTATGGCTTTAGTTCAATATCAAGAGAACTTTTTGTTTTGCCATTTTGGAATTGTCTTTTGGTGGGTCCTAGCACCCATTTTATTCAGTAACGATATAACATGTATCCACGTTCTTCTCAAAATTGTCCAGAGCAGCTTCTCCCTTTATAGCAGAACATCCAGTCAGTGTTTACCAAAGATGTATAGAGTGCCCATTTCATATAAGGCCCTGTGCCAGGTGCTGGGGATATAGGAGAGGACAAGATGGATAGAGTCCCTGGCCTTGTGGGGCTTGGGGGAGGCTGTGTGTGATGAACTGGTTTTTAGTTGGGTTTCAGCCTGGCACAGCAAAGCCTTTTCTGGTTGAAGTGTAAGTCTATTTAAGGAGTCTGGGAAGAAAGCAGGATGGTGGACTTTCCTTAACATAAAAGTAATAAGTGTTCGTTTTAGAAAAGCCAAAAATTCAGATAAACAAAAACACCACTTGTAATCTTACCACCTAAAGATAATCACCATGAACACTTTGGAGTATATTCTGCCACGCTTTTCCTATGCATATATGTATTTTTTCTTTGAGGTTTAATTTACTTAGAATAAAATGCACAGATCTTAAGTGTAGCTGATGAGTTAAGACAGCTGCGTACGCCCACGTGGCCACCCCCGAATCAAGATGTGGAGCATCGCCCCCGCCTCGTGAAGTTCCTTCGTGCTGCGTCTTTTCCAGTAGAGTCACTTACTCAAGGAGTAATTGCAGTTCCCATTTCTGTTACCATAGATGAATCTTGCTTGTTCTTTAATGTCACATATATTGAATTATTTGGTATATAAACTTTTCGTGTTTGGCTTCTCTTGCATATTTAAAAAAATTTTAACTTTTTAATAGATAATTTACATGGTTCAGAAATTTAAAGGTACAAAGGGTATGCATTGAAGAGTTTTCTTCCCACTGCTCTCCAACCAAGCACCTGGCTATCCTTTCTAAAGACAATAGATGTTAGCAGTTTCTCTGTATTCTTCCAGAGATTTTATGCATGTACAAGAAAATACATATGTATATATATTTTTCTTACCTCTATCTTTTGCATAAATAGTAGTATAGCATGCACAGTATTGTGTACTTTTTTAAACTTAAAAAGTTAGCCCGGCTGGTGTTGCGCGGTGGTTGAGTGTTGACTTAGGAACCAAGAGGTCACAGTTTGATTCCTGGTCAGGGCGCATGCCTGGGTTGCGGGCTCTATCCCCACTAGGGGGCGTGCAGGAGGCAGCTGATCGATGATGTTTCTCTTTCACCTATGTTTCTATCTCCCTCCCCCTCTCCCCTCTCTCTAAAAAATCAATAAAAACATAATTAAAAAAAACACACCTCAAAAAAGATAGTGATTACCTGAAAAGCTTCCTTAGGCATGAATGGCTTATTTATTGCTCATAGTATTTCGATTTATTTAATCAGTCCTATGTTATTGGACATTTAGCCTGTTGACAGTCTTTTGCTACTACAAACAATGCATCAGTCAAAATCCTATTATTACTGCATTATATCAGGAGGCACATATTGTTTGGTGGTTTCCTTTGTGTGTGTGTGAAAAGCTTGATCAGTGGCAGCCTGATCCACTGTTTAGAGGGATTTCTGTATTTTCTCCAGCCTTTTGCCTAAGTTTTAGCAACTATTGGTGATCTTGCTTAGATACATTATTTTATCAGGAGTTGCAAAATGATCATACGCTAATTCCGTCATTACTTCTTCATTTATCAGTTGGAATACTGCAAAGAACTGTCCTTTATCAGCTATCGTTGCAAATGTAGCTGAACTCATAATTATTTCCTTAGGGTTAGTTCCTATAAATTGAATTGTCTAGGCAAAGGGTTTCTCTTCTTGAAGGCTTTTTATAAATATTGTCAAATTGCTCATAAAGATTTGATATTAGCCTACACCTCCCATCATTGTTATATGAGTGAAGTACTATTTGCAGCTTGTAGAAATAATGATGCAAAACCTCAGAGATGGGCAACATAGTAAATGTCTTTGTCAATTAGAACTGTCATTGCTTGGTGTTTTCTTAGAGAATGCTGGTGCCACTTCAGAAATGCTAGTGTTTTTAGTTTGTATTCATTAAACAGGTATTAATTTTGAAATTAGAAGGTTGGTTATATAATACTGTTAGTAAAAAAACCCCAACAACTTCCCTTTTGTAGTTTGACTATGTATATTAGCCATGTTTCAAAATATAATAGCCCTCTTAGCTTAAATAATTATAAACATCTAATGGCTTTTCCTTTGCAGCGACATTGCTGGGGGCAAACCCCTGGAAGTAGAGATGGAAGGGATAGAATACATGAATGATGATCCTGGCATGGTGGATGTTCTTTATGCCAAAGTTCATATGAAAGATGGCTCCAACAGGTAAGTTTCTGGAACACGTCTTTGTTTCAACCAAGGGGTAGCTAAAAGCATCTCTGGAAGTTCATCTAGTTTTGCTTCCTTTTCTTTGCTATCTTATTATTGCAAAGAGTGTGTAAATTCTTTCATTTTTTTTAAAATAGTAAGCTGATATCTTGAAAGAGGAATTTGTTGTCAGAAAAAGTATTTTAGTTTGATAATTATTTAGTTACTTGGATGGTGTATATTGACCGTAGCAGTCTAGCTTTTATGGAACTCTGTGCTTCCTTCATGTTTTCGAGGATAACAGGAGACAGGACGGATGGCATTTTAGGATGTTGGTTACGAAAGTGAAATAATGCAGACCTAGCGACTACCCAGACAAAATGGTCATGATAACTGTATAAACTTTAGGAGCTTATTAGGGTTGAATTAATCGATACAAAATGCTTTAGAACAGTACTTGGCACATACTAACTCATCAAAACCTACCTAAAAAAAAATGTTTGCTATTATTTTAAAAAATCCTCACCCATGAACATTCTTTCCATTGATTTTTTAGAGGGAGTGGAAGAAGGAGGGGGAGGGAGAGAGAGAGAAACATTGATATAAGAGAGACATATTGATTAGTTGCCTCTTGCATGCACCCCACTGGGGCTGGGGATTGAGCCTGCAATCAAGGTACATGCCCTTGGCCGGAATCGAACCTGGGACCCTTCATTCCTCAGGGACCACTCTCTGACCACTGAGCCAAACCGGCTAGGGCAGCAAGCATTTTTTTGAGGTCCAAAAGAATAGCTGTTTGGGAAGCACTGATTCAGGCAGTAACCTGAATAGTGTTCCTGATAAGGAAGGCAAGGGAAAGGGTAATCACATCAATTACATCAGTAGAAGGAAGGCATTTCTATAGGTGCAGATAAGCTAACATTGTGATCCTAATTCTAAAGAATTTAATTGGTAGTACAGTATTCATAATATATGCTTTCTTGTTATCTTTGCAAACAGTTGTTTGGTCTAAGTGTTGCTGCTTTAGGCTCACTCCAAAGGTTATTTTGCAGTTTTAACATTCCAAAGATTTGAGGAGTAAGACACGCAAGGCAGTGCCTCTGGGAGGGCAGCAGCTCTGACTCCGTTTAAAGTGGCTCCATTTATATATTTTTTTTTACAAATTGGAAGAAAAATAAGAACTATAGAGGCTAGATGTCTTTTGAAGACAGTGCGCAGACATAATTTGTACCCACATTAATGGAAGGCCAAGGGCTCAGAAGGTTGAAAGCACCCTTTACTTTCCCACAGGCCCAGCCCTTACAAATTTTGAACACTTTCTGTGGTCAAGGCCTTGTTAAGTTGGAAGGTTTTGTGAAATGTCCACTGAATCCAGTAGTGTGATCAGCGAAGAACATTTTTGAATAATTCCCACCTCTTACTGCTCTATTTTCTCTTTTCTATTGCACCTTCCTCCTCCACAGGAGACATGTTTGTGTCACTTCAAAAAGATTTATAAATTCCCCTCCCCAAATCTATAGCGTCTGAGGGACTTGTACACCTCTTATTTAATTCCATATTAAAACTATTTGAATGCCTTCTTTGTACAAAGTGTTTTGCAAGGCCATGCAAACTGATACAGAATTAAGTAAGACACGACTCTGTTTTTAAGGAACATTTCCATCTTTCCTGTTTCTCTATGTGAAGAGACACAGCTCAGTATAAGAGGCATGAAGGAGAGACCATGTTGTAATAAAAATACAAACACAGCTTTCTTTGTGTGATTTCATATATTTTGAATCTAAAATTCCCTTAAAATGAATGTGTCTGTGAAGTGCCTGACCTTTACAAGGAGGGAGCCACTGAGATCAGATTTTTTCCCTCTGGAAACAGCTAAGACAGTGTAGCTGCACTTCTGATGCATCCATGGGTTTGTTAAAGCATGACTGGGTAAGGAATTTGTGTTCAACCTTTTACTCATTACTTAGTAGTCAGCTATTGCTGAGACTTAAGTGTTGACCACACTGGCTATTCTGTTCTGTCTGTCACTCTCTCAAGACTCCACCCTTGCCCCTCTCAGAAGAATGGCTTTCTCACATTTTATGGAGCGCATGAAACCAGTTCATCAACCTCTTCACTTTTTCCTTCACAATCCACCTATTTTCATCATACTCATCCCACTCAGTTTCACTTTCTTTATGAAGAATGCCATACATTATCTCTGATGAGGCTAATCCCTTTACTTGGTCTCCTTCCTGATAAGAAGGAATGGCCCCATTCCTTCTCATCTCCTCAGAGACTTAGCACCATGAGTTATTTTACCCTACAGGGCATTTCTAGTCCTCTTTTCCCTCAGGTTTTTTGATTGCCCTGTATGTGAGGTGCAGTAGACCCTAGGGCTCTGTCTTAAGCAGGTGGCAGATGTGGGTAAATAGGGTCCGCTGGGATGAGGGCTATGATTGAAGTTCTAGGAGTGGGTTGGTGGGCAGCAAAACTGTGTCCTGTGGGCACAGTTTGTAAAGGAAGGCTTCAGAGAGGTTTCTTGGTTGAATAAGGAGTTTGCAGGCTGAGGGAGTAGCATTTTAGGAGAAGGGGATAAATAGCAAGTACAGCTCTAGAAGCACTGTATGCATGTAGAGGAAGTTGGGTTTGCATTTGTTCATTTGTTTATTTAACAGACGTTCATCGAATTCCCACTTTGTGCCGGGCACTGTGCTAGGCTGTGAATATAGAATAGTGGATAAAGCCCGGCACAGCCATTGTCCCCGTGTAGTTTACAGACCAATGGAGAAAACAGATGTTAACAAATAACACATAAGTATGTAACTGCAAAGTGTGAGTGAGATGAGGCAGGGGAAATGGTGCTTGGCCAGAGAGAGATAGTATCATGCCTGCATGTGGGCAGGGCAGGAAAAGCCTCTCTAACAAATTGATATTGAATTGAGGTCTAAAGGAGTTTATGGGCAAAGGAGGTGGGAAGGCTTTCTTCACCTTTTGTTCTAGGGAAAAGAAAATGCAGAGCAAAAGCCCAGAGGCAAGAAAAAGCCTGGCAGATTCCAGGCATGGATGAAGCCTAATGACGTGAGAGAGGTAGAATGACGTGAGATGGCCATGTGAAAAAATTAGAGGGGTGTGGGTTGAGGCAGTAACAATAGGTAAGAGAAAAAGATTAAATACAAGTAAAATAAATAAAAATAAATCCGTATCAGGATAAATCATAATGGAACTGCAGAACACCAAAGACAAAGAAAAAAATCCTAAAAGAAGTTACCTAAAAGGATTGACAATTATAAGAACAGTGGGCTTCTCAGTATCAACAGCAGAAGCCAAAGACAGCAGAATATTTTCTAGAGAAAATAATGGTCAACCTGGAATTGCGTATTCAGAAAAAAAAATTAAAAACAAATGTGAAATAACGACTTCTTTAGATGAACAAAAACTCAGAGAATTTATCACCATGAGATATGCGCAGTAAAGGAACTTCTAAAGGCTATAGTTAGGAAAAGGAATCAGAAAGTTTGAGATGCAAGAAGGGATAGTAGGAGATGGAGAAAGGAACAGTGAATACATAAAATGGCAAACATTGTCCATATAATTGGGAGCTTTTTAAAATGACAGAATTAACATTGTTCACCTAACGTAAACATCAGCCAACAGCATGCATGTCAGGACTAAGCGGAATTCTGGAGTTGAAGTACTTCAGAGACCTTTTTTATTATTTGAGAGAGGGTTGTTAGATATTATTTAAGTTTGTTAAGCTAAATGTACATAGTAAAATTTCAAAAAGAAGTCTGAAAATAGTGGGAATAAATTCCAAAGAAACAGAAAAAGGGACAAATACAAACTCACCTCCAATAAGGGTAAGTAATGTAGAAAGGAAGTGGAATTGAGTAGAAATTAAAAAGAAGATGGCAGGAAGAAGTCCACACATATAATACTTATATGTTAATGAAGTAAACTCACCATTTAGGAGAGGTATTGTAAGATTAGATATAAACAAAGTTCAGTTATATGCTCTTTACAAGAGAGACATCCACAGCATGAAGTTGTGAAGTTCAGAACAGCCTCCCCAAAATGTGCTACTTTGGCATGTGGATTATTTTGAGCTGAAGGCAATGGAGACCCTGCAGGCTCATGAGAAACTTTTACCTATTTCTTAAAGAATTTAAATTAGGGGCCTTGCCCATGGTAAGAGTTATCACCAGAAATAACTTTCTATGACCTGTCTATGGCAGGGCAAACTTCTAATTACTGAACATCTGCTCTTATTGTCCTGCAAACGACCTTTCTCCCCTCTGAAGCCCCAGGGTGCCTTATCTCATCCTTAGTTCCAAATGTTTTATATATAAAATTTTCCCCTTCTGTCTTTGAACCTCTTGTATGTGGTGGTCAATTTTATTATTTTCTCTTATTAATCAGTCTCATGTAGATCTAATTATAAGACCAGTGAAAAGAACCTTGAAGGGTAAAGGAAAGTTTTTTTCTCCCCGCACAGTTGAAATAATAGAAAGGAAAAAGATATACTAGGCAGATACCAAAAGAAAGTTAGCATAACAGAATGACTATCAAACATGAGAGGCTTAAAGGAAAAATACATTATTAGCAATAGAGAGGACTATTACATAATGATAAAAGGTTCAGTTTGCCAGGAAGATGTAATAATTCTAAACTTGTATGAAGCAAACAGAACAGCTTCAAAGTAGATTAAACCAAATCTGTATAATTAATATTTTATTGAGAAATTGAGAAACCCAACATTATAGGAGGAGATTGCAACATATCTTCCAATTATTGGAAGATCAAGCAGCTACTAAATTAGTAAAGATACAGAAGATTTGAACAATTAACAAGTTTAATGTAATAGCCATCTCTGGAATTATATACTCAGCATTAAAGAATTCATGTTCTTCTCAGGCTCATGAAACAGTTGAAGCAAATTGATTACATAGTAGATCATAAAGTGAGACTTAATAAATTTCAGTGAGTTGGTATCTTACAAATCACATTTTCTGATCAGAAATAAAACAAGGTTATCTACAATTATCAAGTTATTAGAAATAATAAGAGAGTTCAGCAAAGTGATTGACTGTAAAATTAGTATAGTAAAATCAATTGCTTTTCTGTACACCCATAACAAACACAAAACATCATTTTAAAAAGATACCATCCATTTATAGTAGCAACAAAGACCATAAGGTACTTAGGAATAAATATAACAAAGTATGTGCAAGACCTTTTTTGCAGAAAATTACAAATAAATTGAGAGGCACTCATGTTCAGTGATAGACTTAGTTTCATAAAGATGTCAGTTCTCACCTGGCTGGGTGTAGCTCAGCGGTTGAGCATCAACCTAGGATCCAGGAGATCACGGTTCGAATCCCAGTCAGGGCACATGCCCTGGTTTCGAGCTCGATCCCCGGTCGGGTGTGTGCAGGAGGCAGCCGATCAATGACTCTCTCATCAAGGGACCACTTCTGAAACTCCTAACTACGGCACACCTTATAGGCAGGGGCAGCATTTCCGAGGTCAGAATCACTGCTCACGGATACTGGGGCATGGGGGTGTTAGGGTAGTTATAAAGACTTCATGGGAAAATAGGATTTGAATTGGGACCTGACCTGGAAGGATGCTATGATTGCATAGGTGGAGGGAGGGAGGGAGGAAGTGGCTGTTGTGGCTCGGAACAAGAGGCACAGAAGCTGCAGTTGTCAAGTTGCTAAGTGGAGAAAACCTGATGAGAAAATGTGCATATTGAAGTACTGGGGTCGTGAGGCTGCTCCAGTAGATGCTGGGGCAGCCAGCAGGGAGTCACTGGAATCTCCAGAGCAGAGAGCATCCTGAGGCACTGGTATATTGTAATGTTCTGTTTCATGCCAAGCTGTACTGGAGTCCGAGGCGAAGGAACTCGGTAATACCACATCTTCATTCACAATTTTGGTATTCTGTTCACTGTAGATTTTTTTGGCATTAATTTTGATTTTTAAAAATATTGCCCAGCTGAGCGTGGCTCAGCGGTTGAGCGTCGACCTAGGATCCAGGCGATCGGGGTTGGATTCCCAGTCAGGGAACATGCCTGGGTTGCGGGCTCGATCAATGACTCTCTCATCATTGATGTTTCTCTCTCTCCCTCTCCTTTCCTCTCTCTGAAATCAATAAAGATAGGTTAAAAAAAAAAAAGTAACATGAAAAAAATATAAAAACATGTTAGGTTACTGCATATTTAGATATCTTAAATTTTGTGCCCTAGTCCCAGTCCTGTGTTCTATTTCTGAAGTTTGGTGGAGGCGACATGGGCATTTATTTTATTATTATAGTATTCTTTGGTTAACGGACAGTAGTTCATAAAAACAATTAAGATAAAGAAATTATAATTTTAAGATTAATTTGGAACTTTGGAACCTGAAAACCATAAAAGGGAAAAGAATCGTTTGGGCTCCTAAGTCAATATCTAGGGGAAAATGAGTCCCGCAGTGAATGCAGTGCAAGCAGAAAAGTGGTTTTGCCCACAGCTAAGTGAGTGAATGATAGCCGGGGGATAGGGGCACCAGAGGCTGTTGTTCACTTTGAGATAGGCCTCGAGCAGCTCAGCTGCTGCAGCAAGAATGATTGCCAGAGGCAGACGCCCACAAATGGACCATACAAGGTGGACTTGACCTACATTTCACTTAAATCCATCCAGCCCTGCTTAAGGAGAGAAGCTGCTCACTTCTTACCACAGGGCCATGGCCCAAGAAGCAGTGGAAGATTCATGAACTCTATACATGTCTCAGGGCTACTAGAATCCAAGCAAAGAGGTCATGTTTGACACTAGTACATCTAAAATGTAAAAATCTAAAAAATGTAAAATCTGTTATTTATTAGCACGTTAGTGACTAATAAAAGATTATTTTGAGCCAGGGAAGTCAATTAGCATGCAGCACAAGTCTCAAAAAAGGCAAAGGGAAAGGTTGAAAAGTCCAGGCTCCTCCCTGCGCTCGTCCCCTGCACTACTCTGTCATTTGATGTGACCTCCCAGTCAGTGCCAACGTTTAGTGAGAGCTTATTTGAGCTCGGGATGGACATTTTGGCACAGTATATGAAAGCCACAGGCTGAATTTTATCATCAGATGAGTGGGTGGTCACAGAAGATGGCTACTTCCTGAGGCCTAGGACCAAGATGTGCTGCACCACATACTTGCTGGGATAATGACTCTTCTTGTTGGAACTACTGGCAAAGTTGTTCTTCAGAATTGAAGAAGAGATAAAGAGTTTTCCAGACCAAAAAAAAAAAAAAGCCAAAGAAATTCTCATCACTAGACTGGTCTTACAAGAAATGTTAAAGGGAATTCTCCAAGCTGTTGAGCAAAACACCTGAACAGAATGAAAACTTACTGTGCAAGAATTGCTTCTGGTGGAAGTATTAGAATGAGTGGCCACCACTGAGGTAGAGCTCATCCAGTGCAGAACCTGTAGTGCTTAGAGCCACCTGAAGTGAGTCCATAAGGGGAATCAGTCATGCAAATTACAGCCTGTGGATTTTCTTATATGTAGTTGTCTTTATTGGTACTGTACTTCCACCTTGTTGAAGCCCTGGTATTGTGTCAGTGCTATTGGGGTCTTCGCATGCATGCTCCTTCCCAATGAGCAAATGTCTTAGAGTTGTACCAGACCCCTCTTGATCAGCCTCACTAGTTTTTGGTTTTGTGACTGGATGAACCAATAAAGCACTTCCTTTTAGGCAACTCTGTTGAGCCTGGCTTCTTGAGCTCAGTTCCCAAAATGATAAACTTCTATCTTTCTTCAAGACCATGTTTGAACCTCCTGTGAAAACTTCCCCCTCTCCATGTACAGTTGATCATTCCCTTAACATTCACCGTCATGCTTTGCAGTTGTTTGTTCCCATGTTTGTCATCTCCACAAACCTGCGAGCTTCATGATAGTAGGAACTGCAGCCTTTTATTCTTCCTCTTATGCAGGGCCTTGTCCAGTGATTGGCCCAGAGCAGGTGCTTCATAAATGTTGAATGAGTAATCGGGTTCAGGAGTTTACTAACATTTCTATACTTCTTTCCTCGATTTTGCCAGGCTGCAGGAATTAGTTGATCGAGTGCTGGAACGTTTTCAGGCATCTGGGCTAATAATGAAAGAGTGGACTAGTGTGAAACTCCATGCTACCGTCATGAATACTCTACTCAGGAAAGACCCCAATGGTAAGTCTTCCATAGAACTGTAGCACAGTTTGTCATTAGTAAGGGCGAATAATATCACCTCTGGAGTTTAAATAGAATGGGCTGTCAAGTAATTTCTAATATATCTTTGTTTTTTATTTGATAAAGCTAACAAATGAGCACAGTGGAAATGTGCAGGGACATATCTAGCACGAGATTGTCGCATTCCAAATCTTTTATTTCTGTCATACATAGGGTTGTCAGATTTAGCAAATAGAAATACAGGATGCCCAGGTAAAGTTTAAGTAAAGAATGAATAATTATTTTAGTATAGGTATGTCCCATGCAATACTTGCTGCTCATTTTGAAAGAAGAAAGAAAGATTAGTTAGTAAATGTTAGACCAGTGGTTCTCAACTAGGGGCAGTTTTGTCCCCCAGAGGATATTTGGGATTGTCTGGAGACATTTTTGGTTGTTATAGTTAGGGGAGTAGGGGTGGGTTTCTGCTGGCATCTAGTGGGTAGAGGCCAGGGATGCTGCGTAACCCTCTACAACACACGGTAAAGACCGCCAACAAAGAATTACTCAGTCCAAAATGTCAACAGCACCAAGGTTGAGAAACCTTGGGGTAGAGAAATAATTTTTTTCCCTCGTGGAATCTGAGCCTTCATATAAAAATGGCTTGTTTTGCCTCGCCAGGCGTGGCTTAGTGGTTGAACATCAACCTGGGATCCAGGAGATAGTGGTTCGATTCCCAGTCAGGGCACGTGCCCGGATTGCGGGCTCGATCCCCAGTCTAGGGGTGTGCAGGAGATAGCCGATCAGTGACTCTCTCATCATTGATGTTTCTATTTCTCTCTCCCTCTCTCTCTCTGAAATCAATAAAGATATATTAAAAAACCCCCAAAACCCTTGTTTTAACTCAACATTCAAAAAGGGCCTTCTTTTCTTTCCACCCTTACTCCCCAAGAGAAAGCTTCTCTAACACATTTAAATATACTGTTTAAATATACCAGCACCAAAATGCCAGACTTTTTAACTCAATAATTCCTTTGTTTTTATTTTAAATTACTCACTTGTGGACCACTTTGGAAGTGGTAAGAAATTACTTTACAGATATACTTAAAAATACTGAATTGACAGCTAAATTGAATGGTATGTTTCTTAGGGCAGTTCTCATTTTGTTATTTACTCCATTTAAACTCCAGGTCCTTATTTATACCTCATCTCTTTCTTGAGCTTTGGAAGCTGTAACTGGGGAATTGAGACATGAATACCAGTTAGTCTCCATTTCCACCTCTTTGTGAGCGTGGGTTTGGAGGAGTGAGCCCCAGAAAATAGAAAGTAAGATACTAAATAGAATTGAATCAATATAAAGAGACCCCAAAATAGAGGGATGGAGCCAACTTTTTGGGCTCCCAAGGACCTATTTCTAATCAGAATTGTCATCTGCAAAAATGCATTGAGTAGGTAGCAGTTAAGAAAACAAAGTACTGAACTGTAGTTGTGGGACTGGGTTCTGGGCCTAGCTTCCCAAATAACAGAAATTTCAATGTAAAAACATCAAATAAGCCCTAGCCGGTGCTCAGTGGTTAGAGCATCGGCCTGCTGACTAAAGGGTCCCGGGTTCGATTCCGCCCAAGGGCACATACCTCAGTTGCAGGCTCCATCTCCGGCCCCAGTGGTCAGGGTGAGTATGGGAGGCAGCCAATCAATGTGTCTCTCGCACATCGATGTTTCTCTCTCCCACTCTCTCTGAAAAGCAATGGAAAAAATATCCTCAGGTGAGGATTATAAAAATAAATAAATAAATGCATCAAATAAGTGCTAATGTGTAGGGAAACAAACACAGCAAGTGGCAAAATAACTATGTATGTTATATATATTTAATATATATTTACATTCTAAAGCTGTAATGGTAGTAATAACATTGAAACATTTTAGAACCAGAGAAAACCACAGAGATTTAATTAGTCTAATTGCCCCAGAGTATAAATAAGAAAATTTGTCAATAATCATTGCCATTGTGCATTAATATGAAAAGAGTAATTTTAACTCTGAAGTAAGACAATGTTTTTTTAATATTTCAACTTTATATCAAATTAGATAATTATATATGGATCATAAAATTCATAAATTAAACGTATTTTTCTATGTAATTCACACCAAATTTAATAGTCTCTTCACTGATTCTTTGTACTGGGAAAGGATATTTTTTCGTTTTTTTTGAGAAAGGGTATTTTCATTGTCCACCTCATTTTTAAGACAAACAACAGACTTTTTGTAATCTTCAGCTTCTTTAGCACCAAGTTGCTTTTCTTTATTTACTTCCAGGTTTTTCTCTGTGGTTTTAATTTGGAGAAGTGTTTCCAGCATTTTTTTCTGAGGAGCTATTTGTCTATATATATACTTACTAGTCTGCTTCAGTATTATTTTTCTCCCTTTCCTCAGTTTTCAAGACTCGTGGTATAAAACTATTAGCAGATACATTGCATGATCATAATTCTGTCTCTTTAAAGGGCACCTGTTTTGATGGTAACCACATTAGTGGTCTTGCAGTATTACTCTCCTACAAGTTTAATGTTTCTTCTTTGCATGATCATCCAAATTCAAACTGGAAAGTTTAACCCTTCGGGTTACTACTCCTGCTTTGGAATTTTGAATAGATGGTCCTGATGAAACAAATAGATAGTCAGCTGTGTCAATTTCAGTTGGAAAATGCTTCTGGTATTTCTCATTACTGTCTAGTGCTGCTAGCCACTTAACACAGCAGTCTTTAAGAGCTTCACAGTGCTTTTTAAAAAAATATGTTATTATTGATTTGAGAGAGAGAAGATGGGAGGGGGATAGAGAAATAGAAACACTGATATGAGAGAGAAACAGTGATCACTGATCGCCTTCCTCCTGTAAGTCCCCTACTAGGGATTGAGCCTGCAGCCCAGGCATGTCCCCTGACTGGGAATCAATCCAGTGACCTCTTGATTCATGGGTTGACAATCACTGAGCCAGCAGCTGGGCCACAGTGCTTTTTATTTAATTAATTTATTTTAATATATATATTTTTTATTGATTTCAGAGACAGGAAGGGAGAGGAGGAGAGAGATAGAAACATCAGTGATGAGAGAGAGTCATTGATCAGCTGCCTCCTGCATACCTCCTACTGGAGATTGAGCCTGCAACCTGGGCATGTGCCCTGACCAGGAATTGAACCTCGATCTCTTGGATCATAGGTCGATGCTCAACCGCTGAGCCACTCCAGCCAGGCCACAGTGCTTTTTAATTGCTGCAGGAGTCAAATGTAGAAAATTGGGGATCTTTAAAAGTTCTAGATTTCCCTCCTTTGCCATGGGCACCCCGTTTTTACTGGATAACCCCTTTGAATAAGAAGAGGTATTGCAGAGGGTTTAAATGATACTGCAACAGGGTAAACACTAGGCCAGTCCTGGTCTACAGCCATTTTACCTGTCCTAGGAGGTAGTGGCCTTTCAGATTTGGATGTTCTTTTTGTTGTACATGGACTTGGTTTCCAGGTGGGAGTGGCCGGAGACATGGTGGTGGAGAAGGCACATAGGGTCCTGGCTCCTGGCTGCAGGGCCAGCCATGCTGGGAGCCAGGTGAACTCCATGGCTGGGAAGACAGCAAGCCAGGGAGGACAAGCCCAATATTTAGGTTTTATTTCCTTTGTTAGGACCCTGACCTTGGCTTTATTTATTTATGTTTTTAATTATATATATATTTTTAATCCTCACCTGAGGATATGTTTATTGATTTGAGAGAGAGAGAGAAAAAAAATTTTGTGAGAAAGAAACACTGATTGATTGTCTCCCATACACGCCCCGACTGGGGATGGAACCCGCAACCTAGGTATGTGCCCTGATTGGAATCAAACCTGCAACCTTTTTGGTGAATGGGATGATGCTCCAACCAACTGAGTCACCCTGCTTGGTTTTAGAAGATAAAGGTTTAAAGAAGATTGCATCAGGACTCAACCCATAGATTATTTGTAGATTTGTAGTTTACGACAGTTTGATTATCCCTTTTTGTCAAAGTACATCCTTTTAATTCTCTCAGATATATACCAAAGATCCAACTAGAAGTCATTTAATATTAACCCCATTTGGTTAGAGCCATTGTAGGACTAAGAGATACTGTATGTAGCTACCCAATTTTTAGTTATGTTGTTTTATGATGCTAGGTTGTATTTTATTTAAGACTTTTCTAAATAAATCACTATTTTACCTATGGGAGCACTGAGATAAAAAAAAGGTCCGAATGGCTCAGTCAAGCCTGTAGACTTTTGTTTGGGTCGTTAACAGGATCCAAAGCTCTATACTTGTTATTGTTCTGAGGGATTACATTTCTTTCAGTTGGACAGTAGTATTGCAAAAGAATATTGGGATTCTAGGAAAAAAATTCTGGAATTTTTAATATTTACATATTATAATGTAGCTTGCACACTGGGACCATTTAAAGGAATTTATATTTATTTTGTTCTGGAAAGTCCATTTTAATTTTTGGAAACAAATCTCTGAGGTGTGCATTTTAACATTATGATGTAAAGACAGTTTCAGAACTCTAGAATACACTCCAAATTTATTGGTTTAGAAGATATATTGTATCTAATACCATCCAATCGAACTTTCTGTGATGATAGCAAAGTTCTGTATCTGTTATGTCCAACATGGTAGCTACTATCCACGTGTGGTTATTGAGCACTTGAAGGTGGCTAGTGAGACTGAGAAAGTGAACTTTTTGTGTGTGTTTCCATATCACATTAAAAAAAATGATTTGAGAGAGAGAGAGAGAGACAGACATCAATGTGAGAAAACTTCAATCGGTTGTCTCCTACATGCACCTGAGTGGGAATTGAACCCGATACCTGGGTATGTCGTGTGTGTGTCCTAACTGGGAATCGAGCCTGCCACCTTTTGGTGCATGGGACGATGCTGAACCAACCAAGCCATGCTGGCCAGGACTGAGAAAGTGAACTTTTAATTTTATTTAATTTAAATTTATAAAGGCAGGCTGTTTTAAGAATGATAAACTTTCAGTAGACTCAGGATGCATTTTGAGACACTTTGTTTTTCCAGCTGAAGATCAGAGTTGCTTTTGAGATTCAGACCTTTAATATAAAGTATGTTGATGGTTTTTATTTTTTCTTTCTAGAATGGACTTCAGTGCAACAGGAAATTAAACTGAAATCATTAAATTGTTTCACTTAACATGTTAGAGAACATTTTATCCAGTCTGCCTAAAGTTAGTGAATACTATAATAATAAATTCTTAATACTAAAACAAGCAAACAAGCTATACCATCCCCCACTTTAATCTCTTTTTTGTTTATCTTTTTATATTTAATAAACTTTTTATTTTACAATAATTTTAGATTCACAGAAAAGTTGTGTAGATAGTACAGACCGTTCTTGTGTAACCCACATTTAGTTTTTTGTATTGTTAACATCTTACATTATCAAGGTACATTTGTCACAACTAGTGGACCAATATTGATACATTGTTATTAAGTAAAGTCCACATTTTGTTTGTATTTTCTTAGTTTTTACCTATTGTTCTTTTTCTCTTACAGGTTCCTATCCAGGTCCCACATTACATTTATTTTTATTTTATTTATTTTATTTTTTAATTTATCTTTATTGTTGAAAGTGTTACAGATGTCCCCTTATATTCCTTATTCACCCCCTCTACCCTACACTTACCTAACTTTTTGACATGAGTTGAATTATATAGGAATCTGTATCTTCTAAATTGTGTGCATCCAGATTTATATTCAGTTAGCATTAGAGCTTCATATAAGAAAATGTTCTGTGTTCACAGTTTAGTGACCATTTCCTACTTACAAATATTTTAAATATAACAGCTTTGAGATATAACTCACATACTACATAATTCGCCCATTTAAAGTATATAATTCAGTGACTTTTAGTACACTCATAGTTATGTAACCATTACCACAATCAATTTTCGAACATTTCATCACCCCAAAAAGAAACCCCATACGTTTTGGCGGTGACTCCAATTTCCCCCAACCCTCCAGTAGTAGCTACCACCAGTCTACTTTCTATTCTATAAATTTGCTTTTTCTGGATATTGGGTATAATATGTGATCTTCTGTGACTGGTTTCTTTCACTTAGCATAATGTTTTAAAGGTTCATTTATGTTATAACACGTATCATACTTCATTCTTTTTTATTGCTCAATAATATTCCATTGTATAGATGTACCACACTTTACTTATCCATTCGTCAGTTGATGAACATTTATGTTGTTTCCTGTTTTTGGCTGTTATGAATAATGCTGCTATGAACATTCACATACAAGATTTTGTGTGGGCATATGTTTTCATTTCTTTGGGGTCTGTACTTAAGAGTGAAATTACTGGGTCATATGAAAACTCTTATGTTTAACTCAAGAGCTGCTAGACTGTTTTCCAAAGTAGCTGCACCTTTTTACATTCCCACCGGCAGTATGTGAGGGTTTTAATTTACCTACATCTTTATGATCTTTTTTATTATTGCCATTCTCGTTGTGGTTTCGGTTATCATTTCCCTAAAGGCTAACACCACTTACAGATTTTGAAACTATCATTAAACATTTCAACTTCAGCTATGATTATTGCTTTTTATAGATATTTATTTAATATGATTTACTTTAAAATTCCACATCTCCTCCTAACAGGAAACCTATTTTTAAGTTGTAAAATATCGATGGAATTGGGACCTTTGATTAAGAGAATACATCTCATTAGAGAAATGGTTCTATAAGTTACCCATGTAGAATTCCAGTGGGCTAGCTAAAATGTATTATGTTCATGAGGTTAGCACTCTATCTATTTTATCAACTCTGACTTGGCAGTCCCCATACCTATATACAGTAAAAGACCATACTCAAAAGTGGAAATGCAAATATTTTCTAAAGTATTGGTGGGCAGGAAAGGATTGATATTTTGGAAAATATCTTCAGAGTTAAATAATTCTTGAGGATGCTTTGATTTTCCCATACCCTGGATTCTTCTCTGTTTTGAATTTTTACTTGAAAGGGACACAGACTAAGGTGTTTTATGTTTTCTTTGCCGTTATCCCTTTCCTTTGATATTCTTTTTTTGCTATACTTTAAGGACATCTTTTGGGATAAGCAAGCTAAATTAAATCAACGAGTTAGAGTGCAGCTTTGATGAGGCTAAGGTCATAGATTTGTTGCATTTCTGTGTAGAATATCTGTTGGGATACCTTTGATTGCAACTAAAAGGGTCTTCGTCATTTAGGGGATGCCCTAAAATCATCTTAAAGCGTGGTTGCCAGCACTTTTGACTAGTTAACGTGTGAACTTTTGTGTATTTTTATATATTTAAAAATACATTCAGCTTTTATAAAAGGAACCTTTGGAGATCACCTAGTCTTATCCTGTAACTTTGTAAATGAGGAACTGAGGTCCATAGAGGAGACATATTTGACTAAGAATATAGCTGGTTACATAGCTAAGGTACGATGACTACTTGGACAATGTTGAATGAATAAATATATGTAGAATGTGTTGATGGCAGAGCTGAGACTAGAGACTGGGTCTCTTGACTAATACTGTGATTTTTTCCTCCATATTATGCCACTTTCCAGATAGTACATGGAGATTTTGCTAGGTGTACCTATAGAAACCGAAGAGAAAACAAACATAAATAGTCCAGGCTTCTCTTCTGACATTATCTTTGTAATACTTACAGCTGAAGGCAGGTATAATAGCTACACGGCGGATGGCAAATATATCTTCAAGGAAAGAGAATCCTTCGATGGCAGAAACATTTTAAAGGTCAGTATTAAACAGTGAAATGGAAATCCATTGGCGTGTGTCCTAAATAAGCAAGGAAAACAAGTCATTCTCCTTTAAGAGTAAAGGATATTTTTCTCATGCTTCCCATGAGGCTCATTGACTGAAAGGGCTGTTAAAAAAATTTTTTTAATGTCCTAAAAGAAAAAAATCTTTTGGACTCTGTTAAGGCTGTGGTATCTCTAGAGTATTTGAAATTGATGATTTAAGAAACAAGAATTCAACTACTTGGATCCATAGGAATAAGTTGATTTTTAACCTGGTGAGTTTTACTCTGTATTTTATCTCTGGAGGTCTGGGTTTTCATTTTTTTAAGTGAAAAAAGAATTGTCTTGTTCTAGTAGATTTTCTCTTCTCCCACAAAGTGATTGTCCAAAGTTACTTCATAATCTATTTTTATTCAGGAACAGCTCGTGTCCTAAAAAGTAAGTAGTCCACTTCTGACTGTTGAGGCTTTGCTTTCTCTATGTTAAATTAATCCATGAAATTTAAATAAAAGGGGCTCTTCAGGCTTGCATTTATCTTTCTTCCACAGACCACATTCTGTAATGTCCACAATTTATGCCCTCTCTATCAGGTTAACATGCCATTGTGTTTCTGGGCAAAGAGAAACATAGGTTGATACCAATGAAGAGGTTTTTGAGTCTGCATTTCACTTGTTCTGTAATCGTTTAGGTCATAAACATTTGCAAGGCTATGGATGTTTTTTGAGCTGGCAGAGAGAGAGAGAGAATGCATATAATAACTCCAGAGTAAGCTTTAGCTTTGGAGATGCTTTTTTTTTCTTTTTTTTTTTCTTTTCTTCCCTACCCCATCCTTCATTCCTTTATCTTGTTTTGTCCCTTGACAGTTTTTTGCCAAATGCCTAATGTGACCCTATTGCCTGTACCAATGACATCACTCTTCAGCAGCTGCAGAGCCCAGTGGGGCAATGACAGCATTCACTTAGGTGGACATTCCAGCTCCCACACTGCAGAGCTACGTTGATTCTTTTCCTTATACTGTATCTTTCCTCTTTTTGAATATTTTTCTTGTTTTCAAAGTAGCTGTGGTAGCTTTGTGTTTGAGTGACAGGCTGCTAATGAATTTAGTTGCAATTAACTACTGATTTTTCCAGGTCACAGCTTCAGTGTGATATGAATCTTTCTCTTCCTCTATCTCATTTCCTTGGAGACTTGACAATAGTATAATTAATTACTTTGCTTTTTTGTTGTTAATTTGATTAAGAAAGAAAATAGACTGAGTGGGAAAGGAAATTTGTAGGAATGACTCAAGTAAAATTGGTTCTTTTGGAATTAGAATTAAAGCCCAGAAGATGTGTTGATGTGAGGTGCTTTGATAGCTGTAAGAGGGAGGTGCCAGCAGGGAGCCTGTGTGTGGGGTGGCTGTATGAACATTATGGATCTCTCACTTGATATTTAATTTCTCTCATTTTGTTAAATTAGTTTTCCATTTAAAGATGGTTTGCCTTGAAATCTCCCTAACCAGCCCAGTGATGACATGAGTGTAGCTCCCTCTAGTGTTGATAAGGGCTTGCTGTATCTATGTCTATACCTTATTGGTTCATGCCAAATCAGTTTTAGAGCTGGGACCCGTTGGGTACTTAAAGATCATTTATTTAATCTGTTTCACACTTTAATCTCGAAGGACACAAGATCCAGTGTGGTTAAAGAGATTTGTGAAAGGTTATTGCTAGTGAGTAGTAGAGTCTGAATCAGAACAAAAATTCAAAAATCACAAATTAAAATTGTTTCTGCTGCTTCCCATAAAGATACTCAGTGTTTAGGTAGAGATCATTAGATATTTGAAATTGGGCATATCTTTTTGAACTGTGATAATGTCCAATTAAAATTTGTTCCATAAATTTTGGGGCAGTGGGTGTGCTGGTTAGTCTAAAACTGTGGCTAATTAATAACTGGACTTTTGAGCTGACTTTAATACTAACACATTGTGTACCATCTGCCAGACCATGTGCCTGCAGATTAATCAGTCATTATGATATAATCCCTATCTTCCAGGAGCTTCCTGTCTTTTTTTTTTTTAATCTTCATCCAAGGGTATTTTTTCCATTGCTTTTTAGAGAGAGTGGAAGAGAGAGAGAGGGAGAGGGAGAGAAACATAGATGTGAAAGAGACACATTGAGTGGTTGCCTCCCGCACCCACCCTGACCTGGGCCGGGGATCAACACTGCAACTGAGGTATGTGCCCTTGACCGGAATCGAACCCAAGACCCTTCAGTCCAGGGGCCCACTCTAACCACTGAGCCAGTCTGGCTAGGGCTAGCTTCCTGTCTTTGAAGGGGTACAAATGGTTAATAGGCAATTACAATACAAAATGATGGGGGCAGATTACGAGTTTGGAGAAGTACCTTTGAATACAGATAGTTATAACAAAGCATCCTTTGGTATAGTTTCCAGTATTTTACTCCAGAAAATATAATCTTTTCACCTGTGTTTAATCAAAGGAATTAAGTTTTCTTTGAGAATAAAGGGGACATATGGCCTCCAATAATTACCCCCCAAATACATAAGAGGTAACAACTGTATTTATAAAGTTGTTATAACAGCCCACCTTTTGGAATTACCACGAATGGACTTGTCTTTCTCCAATAGAACATGAGAACCCATGGCTCCTGAAACTCTTGGGGGGAAAAAAATCTAAAACCAATGGCTTACATATATAGTTTTTGTACCAGATACAATTATTATGTTTAGAAAAGGGAAAAAAATCTGTTTCACTAACAAGATAGGAACTGACTTGGAGTAAACAGAAAGGTTAACTGCATTGATTGTTAAGGTTGAATTCAGTTGCAGTTAACTACTGCAGTTAATAGGTGTGCAGCATATTAGCAGCTACAGAGGTTAAGGGTCAGAAATGCTGGCGATGGGAAGCAGCCTTGGAAAAGAATCCACTTCATCTACTATTCAAAGAGAAACAAAGCGAGAAAGCAAGTCATTGCTCATTGCTGTAAGAATTTAGTGAGTAACAGCCAATTGCCATTTTCCCCCATGAGGAGAATTGGTCCTTTTGGCTCAATGTAATATTATGTATTCTGGGTGCCCTAATAAGATAAAAAGCTCTAGTGACTTTTGGAAGAGGAAGCCACATTTTTCTTTTGTACGGCTCTTTTGGGAGTTGTTGCAGGTATAATAAACTAGTATCTGGTTATTTCTAGTTAAAATGAGACTTTCTCACCCTAAGGAAGGACTTTGAAAAAAGAACTGAAAATTAAAGAATCATTCTCTGTGTTTGTTAAACCAGAAAAGGAGCAGACATGTTTAGTCACTATGGTTTTTTATAAAAGACTGGCAGATAACTCTGAAAGGAGGACGTTTGAGTGAGTAAAACCCAAGCCAATTAACAGGATAGTGCCCCCTCAGAGCATTTGCATTTCTAGTCTTAGAGTACACACTAAAATACTATTTGTTTATCCATAGGCAATGATAAAATTATGCTGATCTAAAGACACACTGCCAGGAAGTAACTGCTCCCTTGCTTGCTAGAAGTAGAATGGTCATTAACTGCCAGCTTCTGGAGCGAGAAATGGTCTTAATGGCAGTCTGTTTGGGGGACTTATAAAATGGCTTTAAGCAATAGAATCAGTATTCCAAGAGTGAGTTCTCAGCAGATTGAACAGGGGTACAGTATTAACTGTTGAAAAGCATAGCTCTAACTGCAGAATGAAGAAGAGACATCAGAGCCCTCCATTGTACTCACCAGAGGAGGTGGTTTGGTACAAATAAAGGCATAGTAATATATTTGGGAAGGAACAGAAAGTACTATAGATCCAAAATAAAGGACCCTGGAAGTGCCATTTCTTTAAACACTTAAAAGTCCTGGGAGATATAAGCCAAATAAAAAGGAAATGAATTTGTGCCCTTTCCATTTTATGTGTAATAATCTTTATATTTAGAAAAAGAGGAAATTGGCAGTATTAAACTGTTAATTTTAATGCTTTACTTGAAAACATGTTTTAAATCTATCTAGCCATATTGAGACTTTTGTTGAAAGGTGTAAATAAGAGTAAGGCAAATATTTCATTTATTTTTGCTTTTGTTCCATCTCTGTCCTTAAAGTCTTTAAAAACGACAGGATAAATTTAAATTAGATCTACATTTAGTTTGCTTTACTTAGAGAAGTTTCTGTAAAGGAAACTTTAAAAATGCATATTGTTTATTCTCTTTTGGTAAAACATATATATAGAAAAGTACATAAATCATGTATATACTGTTAAACAAATAATCATACACTGGACAGTGTAACTACTATCAAGGTCAGAAAGTAGGACATGCCTCCCATGTCCCTCCCTGGCCAACTCTTTAGTTTGTTTGTCCTAAGGTAACAAAGGCACAATTAATTTCTTAATCTCAGTGAAGAGGCTTGATTTGAATGATTCTTTTGTTTTGAAGTATTAGAAGAGTATTGAAAATAGTATTTTTATTTTTTCTAGGGAAGAGAGGTGAGATTGAGAACAATGATTTTTTAAGAAAGATACTAACGTCTACAAAGGGAGACTGGTGTTTTAGAAAGTACATTATTTCTAAGGAAGAAAACATTTTGTTTTTTACTATCCAGTTCAATAGTCAGTCATATTATATATTGTTCCTGAAAATTACTTCTTAGTCACATAGTTCTTCATTAGAATTTTTATTTTTCTAAAACTCAACTTTTTCAGAAAGCCTTTCCTTGAGAGCCTATCACCAAATGTTCTATTACACTATTATATCAGGATAAATAACAGCAAATTGAATGTAGAATAAAGCTACTATCTCTCATTACCACCATAGCTATGGTGCTATTTTTACTACCTAATAGTTCTAAACTTGAAAATTGAATCTTATTTAAGTAAAATCACTAAGCAGGTTGACACTTATTAGATTCAGTTCACTTGGACATACTAATATTTTGTAATAGTATTTATAGCATTCACAACAGTCATAGTATTATTATTATTGTTGTTAATCCTCACCCGAGGACATTTT